AAAATATGTCGCACTGTGTATATATATATATATATATATATATATATATATATATATATATATATATATATATATATATATATTATTAAGAATAATTTTCATTATGAGTGTTAGTGTTGGTGCTATTCATTCATCATTCATATCACCATATATGCACGAGTCATAACAGTAATTCAAGACAATATTATTGTTTAATATTATCTTAACGTGTAAGGCTACTTAAGTTCGCCTTCTCAAATACTTCCACAAATATACTAATATCATTTTAAATTAGCAATCTACGTATTCTTATTCTAATACTTTATATCTTAAGTACGTGGACAGGTATATGATTGTAATCAATTTGCATCATTTACAACTATAAAGTATTACGAGTAATAACAATATTTAATGTATATTTAGGCATTTATGCATTTATGCATAAAGTTTTCAGTCTCCAACGATTCGACCTTTAATCGCACACACTGCGTTACAAATGTAAAAATTATTATTAACAATCAACATAAATATATTGATAGAAAAGTGCTGTCAGCTTACCAGGTATGCTAGTGCCAAGGGCCACGAAAACAACAGCCGTGACGGAATCCTTAATTCCCAAGGTGCATCCGAAGTAGGAGGCGACATCGCCGATGATGGCTGTCACAACGCCGATACCAAAGATGCTGATGACGAAGCAGAGGTAACCACCGGCAATATCTGAAATTAATTTACACCGCTGATGAGGAGGATCGCATTACTCAATCGAATTAATATTCCGTGGACGCGAACATTTGCTCTCAATTATCATCGAACTCTCCCAGTTTCGCCCCATTCGGCTAATGACTCTTCTACCTTACATGTCTCTATCCTTCTCTCGTCATCTCATTTCCCAAATCTCCACCAGTGCGTACAGAGGTGCCCTGGAATTGCTATTCGATGCTCTTTGAGACAGTGCGACTACCATTCATTCAGTAGGTTATGATAGTTCATTAGGCATCGGGCGATTATATTTTATAGAGAGGTACTTCGTCAATTTATCGAGTGCACAAATATCGGCGATTTTTAAACGAGTTGGCGATATTAAGTTGATTACGGCAAACTGATATACTTGGATTTTTACTGACTTTCTTACTGGCTTGTGACGATAATATTAAGGTTTATTTGCAGTTTTGATTGCTCTTAATAAAAAGCCTTTTCTTCATCTTTTTTTTTTTTAACATTTATTCTGGTTTCATTTTGTGTGTGTGTGTGTGTGTGTGTGTGCGTGTGTGAATAAGACGTTAAAGTTCTCTCTAAATTGGTTTTTATGCTTTATTAACTATCGTTTCGAGTTATCAAACTAAAAAGCGCAATGCGATAATTCTACTTCCCATATTAAATTTCAATGTCTAATTACTATATGTCGTAGGACGAGATTACATCTTTATTTTCATTTTAATTATTAAAATTTTGAACGTTGAACGGGAAGCTTGATAGGATCGTATATTAATTATAATGTTTAAAAAATGAGAGGCTTAATGACCAAGATTATAAAAATAATAATTGCTTCATTGTCTAAAGGTTGTTACTATCATGGATAATAGATATCGTAATATATAATTATTATTACTATATTTATAAATACGAAAAATTCTTGTGCGATTTTATTTATATAGTGATTTGTAGCTCTAAATTTAACTAAATTTCAATTACATAAATATGACTCGGTTCCATTAACATTTAATTAGTCGTTCGAGAGAAAATTAATTTTTAATTTCTAAATAAATAATAATGGCAATGTGTCACTAAATCTTTAAACATACATAATCATTTTTAATTAAATTACTTGTTAATGTGATTACATTTTAATTAATTTGTACTTACATGCAATTAGTGCGAGTACAAGATTATATTTGCAATAGTATACATTATTTCGAATATAGCATTTGTAATATGCAAAAATCCATGTATAATCAAAGCGTGAAAGGAAGTGAAATATATACTTGTGAATAAAATACATTTAAATAAAATACAATTTCTTAACAGTTTGGTAAAGTAATTCTAATAATATGTTCTGCGTATATATGCGTTGCTCCAACATAAGAAAGATCACAAGAAAAAGGTTATTTATTTATTTATTACAAATGCTTTACTGTAGTACAAAATTTTTGCTTCATATCTCTAGATTAATTTTTCGAGATATGTATACTTCGAAATTTAATCAATCTTTACGGATTAAAATACTTGACCTAATTTTTTTCAATAAATTTGTCTCTTATTAAATAGTAGATTATATATTTTTTTTTTTTAATTTTAATCGGAAATAAATAATATTTATTTATTTATTTATTTATTGATATTATTTTAACGCTACATATTATAGTAAAATTAAATTATTTCTATAAAAATCGTGATTCAATGTTGAATAATTCATATTTATGTATGGAAGAACAAAATTGAACAATAATTTTGTAAACCGTGTATTGCATTATCTATTATTAATTTTTAACATATCTATTCGCATTTTATTATCTATTAAATTTTATGTCTCTTTGTTTTTTTTTTTTTTTTTTTTTTTTTTTTTTTTTTGTCATTATAATTAATTGTAATTTTTCTTGTCTCTTTTTTTTCAATAAAATAGTTTAGTTTTTCATCTTAAGCTTTTGCAGTTCTTTCTCAAGATGAATGTAATTATGACTTAAATATATGACGACATTCTAATATGGAAAAATGAGGTGTTGAGAGAAAATGAAGAAAAATAAAGGAAAATTATATTCTTGGCCTGTTGGGGCTACGTATATAATACAATTCCGGGGTCATTTACAATTATTAGTAGAGTACAGTTCTCATGAAAATTGAAGTGGCAATAGTAAAAAAAAATGAAAGAAATTAAAGGAAGAAAATAATTAAACCAGAACGCCATTTATGTTTTCAATTTTCAATTAATTTTTAATTCTTTAAAGAATAATAAAATTATTGAATAAGTGAAAATTGATATGAAATTTGAAAAATTATAAATAATATTTTATGAAATACGTTCTTTTATATTTATGTATTCAATCGAATAGCATGAGATGCATTCTGAGCATTCTGGGCATGAAAATATAATTTTTCAAATTTAAATTTATATATATTTGAATTATTAGCAAAGAATAAATTATTTTTGACGTTTTAATATAGTTGATGCATTTTTATCTTATATAATGATGTCATTGTTACTTTTAAAAAATTAATGTGATCTCTCAGGCTTGTGACAATTTGTAGGATTTACAATATTTCACTAATAATTGATCGTATGCAATATTATTGTTATTATTATTATTATTATTATTATTATTATTATTATTATTGTTATTATTAATAATAGTAAGTTAATAGAGAAAAATAATTTTTCATTTATTATTATTTTTAGAATTTTGTATTTTGCTGAAAAAGTAAGGTTTATTGATAAATAATCGCATGCAATGTGAATATAGTGCAATTGAAAAATGAATATAAAGCTTGAAAATTTTATAAGTGGTAAAATGTATGATTGATTGTTTCTAATAATTTAAAAATGCATGTGTATAATATAAATATATAAAAACGAACATTGGCTGAAGAAAAATTAAAGTAGATTTTTTCGCGTTTAAAAAGCATTCACACGTATCAACTGATGAGTCTATGTAAATAAAAAATGATATCTATGAATATGAATTAAGTGTTCATTTATTGCTTATGTGACATATACACATACACACATATATATATATATATTTATATATAAATTTGCGCTAGTGAGTTGAAACGAATGAATTCATAGGAAGAGTAAAAAAAAATGGGATAAGAGCAAAAGATAATAAAATGTTTTTTATAAAGCCGTTAATTCTAGTTGAAATCAATTTTTTTTTTTTTTTTTAAACGTTATCATCGCAATACGAGTAAAAGACTCTTTTAGTTTTAGCCTCGTTAGCTTGTGAATTATCGTAAATGAGATGTGGAGTGGGGAAGTCAGTGACGCTGTAAGTGGCAGTGTGCGAAGCCGTACAAATTCTTATGGCGTGCTGTACTTTTACTGTCTCTCTGTGACTTTCTCCCTGAAACGTTCCAATCAAAGCTTTGAATTTTCCTATTGTGCTTTAAAGCTTGATTTAATTTAACGTAAAATTCGATTCTTTCGACGGGATAATATTTATGGCTAGTTGAAGCAACATTGAGCTAAATATTGCAAATATCATCATAGATATTATTATTATGTAATATGTAGGCTTTTGTAATTCTAGTGAGGGAGACTGACAAAAATTAATGTAAAAATTGCAAGTATTATTTAATTAAAATATAAGATTTGTAATATTATTTGTAACAAGCATCTAAATCATTTCTATAATAAATATTCATTTTCATACGTTTCATTAATTGATTAGGACTTTTGTGCGACGATAATATTTTACATTTAAGACGAAATATTTTTCTTCAGATATTACATATGGATAAATGTGCAAATCATTTTTTGCTTCATATAATTATCGAGGATATGCTTGTAACATTAAATATGCACAGAGTGAAGAACTAAATCACATAAAATGGATAATGTAAAGCGCAAACAGAAATATATATTATGATTAACGAAAATGTTTATGTTAGTGATAATTTTGTCTTTTTAATTATGTTATGTAATGTAAAGCACACTTATTTACCTTTACAAAATCCACCGTTTGACCTTATGGGTTACAATATCATAGGGCAAATCGTATATGCCTTACAAGTAAGAAAAGATCTTTATTAGAAAAGAGAACACTAAAGTTAGAAATATATGATGTCACTAGTTGTAACGTATAATAGAACTTTTAAAGCTAAAAGAAAGTCGAAACATCTATAGACATGTTATTTCACACAAATTTAATAAAATAATCAATGACATATGATGTTGTGCTCGTGTTCGTTGCTACTTGATACAATTTAATATAAATAAATGTTGTCACCCAATGGAAAGTATCCTAGCTTTTCTCCAACCCTTTCTTCGCCCGTCCGTCTCTTTAAACGTTTCCATCTCTTTCCCCGTGTCACACTTCTTACTCTTTTCGACTCATAGCTGAACTAGCACGTTTGTGAATTAATATTATAACAAGCCTTGCGTTATCACGGTAGTAGAAGCGTTTCGAACACCTTGATCGCAAGCCACGAGATTCCGACTGGTCGGTATTTCGTTCTCTCTCTCTCTCTCTCTCTCTCTCCCCTTGGTTTTTGCGGCTTTTATCAGCGGAGTAGGCATCGAACATCGCTTTTTATCATCGCTTAGCCCTTTATGAATAGATGGTTTCGTGAGATTATTAGGCTACGTTATTGAGTTCGTTAAATGCTATGGCTAACGGTGCAATTCAAATTTCCTTCGATATACTTGGGCTTGTACATGGTAACTTTGACATTACACGTTGGCATTCATGTAGTCTCTAATACCATTAGATTTTATAATGCTATAATATTTTTATCATATTAGTTTATTATAATAATTAAATATCAATCAATTCTAATGTACGTACACTAGATTTTTAAGATAAACCAAAAAGTTGTTTTTTTTAATATTTCGCTTAAAAAATTTATTCCATGTGTAATAAATATTATCTATATATGTGTTTTTATGCAATAATCATTATTTAACATACGAATTTGATGAAGTTTTAGTGCGATTAAATAGATACTTTTATAACATAACAAATACAAAATTGTCCGAATTAATATTTATTTTACTCTATATATAC